AAAAATATCTTCATGTGAGTCTACCACTTCCTCAAGTTATTGTCCTGTGGTTCTCATCCTTCCCTTTCACTGAAAAACTCCTAGAGTTAGCCATACTTATTGCCTCTAATTCCTCACCACCTATTGACTTCTCAACTCCTAATTGTTTCTGATCCTAACATGACAGAAACTTCTCTATCCAATTTTACCATCTCTTAACTACTAAATTTCAAGTACTTTTCTCCTTTCTCTTTTTCTTCCTTCTTCCTCATCAATCTATTTCCTTACATCTTCATATGCAAAATTAATCAATGCAAGCTTTGTGCAATTGTGATTCCACATTCTAAACCACAAAAATAGAACCCATTTTCCACCTCTCTACCATCTCATGTAATTATCTTCCTTCACTCGAAACACTCCCCAAAACTCAATTTCTCCATGAAGTTTTTACACAAGGAAAGGCTTTCACTTCAGTGTAAAAATGAAATTATAATCTCTGCTGACCTTATTTCCTTTAGTGGATATACTACAAAATATGTTTACCATTTTTCTTGAATATAATATTTTAGATATCTGTTCAATGAGTCCTATTCCAATACCTCATAATAGCACAGTAACAGGCCTAGGTTTTGTGTCTTTTTTTTTCTGAATACCCGTTTCCCTAATCTGCCCTCCCTTCTATCTCTGCAGGCCTGGGTTTTGAAGGTTATACCAGTAGAACACAAACTCTGGCTAGTCCTATATCAGAGTGGAAAGTCTTCAAACATTGTTCCAAAACAGGACTACAAGAATGTGGATGCTCCTTCCACTGAAGACCAGTGGTGTCAAAGTCAAAGAGAAACAAATCCCTGAAGTCACATATTGACTTAGAAAACCACAAATGAACATTATTTATGTTGTATTGTATTTTTTTATTTATTGTGTTATTTACAAATTATATTTTAATCTGGTTTGGAATTTTTTCTTTCCTTGCCTTGAGTGACTGTTTCATGGGCTGATGTGGCCAAAAGATTTCGTTAAATGGTTGTTAATGTTGTGGTGATAAGCTTCTACTTACATCATGGTTTCTCAATTTGGATTACAATGGTCCCCCTTGGACAGATTTTAGGGGTCCGTGAACATAGATAAATAATTACATTGTCATTTTCATTAACTTACAACTGAAATTTTATCATTTCCTTCAATTATGAGTTGTTACAATAATATTCTGAGAAGGGATCCATAAGCTTCAATAGACTGCCAAAGGAATCCATCTCTCTCTATCTATCTCACACACACACACACACACACACAGAGAATATCTGACTTAGATAGACTGATGGCTCAGACAAATGTCCTTCACTGGAAATCTTTGGGCCTTTCCACTTAGGAAGGATATAATAATTTCTGATAAGCACAGGCTTCAGGAACCCAGAATGGCCTCCATCCCACAATGAAACATTAAATTACAATGATTCTTTAATAACACTACTCCAAAATACTCATTTTCTTAAATAGTGACCTTTAGTTAATGTTACCAATCTAAAGGAGATTACACATAACTGACAATGAAATAATGATAAATTATTTATATTGTTTTGGATACCAATAAAATTGTTTTGTAAAACCCTCTCCACATCTAGGGTTTCAGCTAATTTGTCAACATAATAAATGTCTGCTAGAGATGCATCATTTAATAGAATTTCCTTCCTGTCTTGAAGATTAAAATATTCCCCTTTCAGACAATCTTATCCATTTGATACCAATCCGATAATTTTATTTGTTATTTGTGTGAGGCATTGATACTAATAAAGAATGTGTCAATGTCTAGCTATTTGACATCATCCTTTAATACAATTCAATAAATAGTTATTGTTAGTCATATATTAAGCACCTCCTCTGGGTCAGGCACTATACTAAGTGCTGGGCATACAAAAAGAGGCAAAAGACTGTCCCTGCCCTCAAGGGGCTCACAATCTAATGAGGGAGACAACAAGCAAACAAATACGTACAAATAAGCCATATACAAGATAAACCAAACTAATCAACAGAAAGAAGGCAGCAGAATTAAGAGAGAATGGAAAAGGTTTCCTCTAAAGACAGGATTTTAACTGGCACTTAAAAGAAGCCAGGGAAACTGGAAGGCAGAGATGAGGAAGGAGAGTATTCCAAGCATGGGGGACAGGCAGAGAAAAGGGTAAGAGATAAGAAATGGAGTGTCTAGTTCACAGAACTGTGATAGTCTAGTATCACAGGACTAAAGAGTACCTGATAGATAGTGAGGTATAATAAGACTAGAAAGGTAGAAGGGGGTTAATTTATGAGAGTTTTGAACACCAGAATATTTTGTATTTGATCCTGGAGGCAATAAGAAGCCAGTGGAGTTGGGGGTGGAGGGTGGGGAAGAGGGGTTGGTTTACATGGTTAGACTTGAGCTTTAGAAAAAAATCACTTAGTGGCTTGACGGAGGATGGATTGGAGTGGGTAGAGATTTATGACAGCCAACCCAACAGAAGGCTATTGCAATAGTCCAGGCATGAGGTAATAAGGATCTGCATCAGAGTAGTGGCTGTGTCAGAGGAGAATAGAGTTGTATTCAAGAGATATTGCAAAAGTGCAATCAGCAGACCTTGGCAACAGACTGATTCAGCAAAGGTGACAGAGAAGGAGTGGTCAGATAAGTAGGAAGAGAACCAGGAGAGAGCAGTGTCCCCAAAACACTGAGAGAAGAGGATATCAAGGAGAAGAGGGTGATCAACAGTATCAAAGGCTACAGAGAGGTCAAGGAGAGTCAGGATTGATAAAAGGTCATTTGATTTGGCAAGTAAGAGATCACATTGGAACCTTTAGAGAGAATAGTTTCAGTGGAATGACAAAGTCAGAAACTTGTAATAGGTTAAGAAGAGAGTAAGAAAAGAGAAAGTGTAGCGGAAGTTGAAAAAGCCATTGGATTTGCCTGTTAAAAGTCATTGGCAACTTTGGAGAGAACAGTTTTGGTTAAATGTTGAGGTTTGGCTGGATGATGAGACAGACTGTGGAAAGTTTAGAAGAGAGTGAGATGAAATGAAATTTTAACTACAAAGAGCAGAAGTGATATAGGATGATAGCCTGGATGGAAGGATCAACTACGTATAAGCCATTGTGCTAGGCCCAAGATGACATACAAAAAAGTTGACAATGTGGTAAAGGATTTTACAAAAGGTAGCAATTAGACAAACTGTCAGAAACTGCCTTCAGAAACTGTGAAATTGCTGGTCAAACAGTTTTGGTTTAAGTACCATTCTATTCAAAACCACATCTACATGATTAAAGGACCTCTCAAATATTCAACCTGAAAAACATATGTAAGAAGTGAAAATTAAATCAGGAATTCATATTCTAACTGATCTCTGATTAAGGAACATGAAAAAAGTTGTCCAAAAATTCCTAATTTAGAGCTGTCAATATCACAAGTACTATGTCAATATGAGAAGAATCTGTGACTTCTTCAGTATAAAGAAATTTCTTTCCTTCTGTCATCTGTGCAACTTCCTATGACTTAATAGATAAGTCTTAAGGAGTTACCTTAGGCACATAAAGTTAAGAAATTTGTCCAGTATCACACAGCTAATATATGATTTATGAAGGAATCAAATTTAGGTCTTCCTGACTCTAAGCCCAACATCCTATCCATACTGCCTCTATAAATTAAATACTTAAAACTGTTACATACACGGTACACTATGGTATGTACCTGAAAAGTAACAATTTTCTAGGGCTCTTCATAGTTAAAATACATAAAAAATTTCAAACCCAAGATAATAACATCAAATGACATCATTTGTTAGTGATTTTGTGGAAAAGTTCCTTGTACAGCAACATGAACTAGACAGTATCTGAAATTCCTTTCAAAACTAAGATTGTGCAACTGAATGATATTGGTTGTTTGTTACAAGTCAGTGAAAAGGGTAAAATTCCTAAAACTCATGTTACATTCAATAATTTTTTGTCAGTAGATTACGGTAAGTAAATAAAAGTATAGATTCTAATTCACATCCTTGAATACTTCAAAAATCTAAATAAACAAATTTGGAAAAATATCTTTAAAATATGAACAAAGAAAATAAAAATCTTAATTGACTGGCAATAAATGGATGAACAAGTTGCTATATAAAGTGTTTACAAAAATTCCAAATAAATATTCCACTACAAACAAAAATGTCATTCAAAACTATATGATTCAAAAAAATATTTATTTTGCTTTGCACACATGATTAAACAAGTAGCAGCTATGAAAACAAGGCACTGAAATGTTTAGTTTTAAGCTCATATAATTTTAATAATCCATGAATCCCACCATAATAAATATTTTTCTATTACTTAAACAAACTAACATACACTACTGACAGAAACAGCTGATGGAGTGAGTGAGCTCCAGGAGAGCAGGGAATGTTTCTGCCTTTTTTGTATCCCTAGCTTTGGGGCTTAATAAATTCTTGTCAACTTGACCTCAAGGTTTTCAAAGCACTTTACAGATGTATTACATTTGTTTACCCTTACAACAAGCCTGTGAGGTACGCACAACAAATATTCTTAATCCTATTTTACATATGAGGAAAATGAAGTTCAGGGAAGGTTAGTTAACTTGCCTACAGTCACACACAACTATTCAGGGCAGGAGATAGGAAACCCTTAACTCTCTCCTAACATCAAGTGTGGTGCTGTTTCTACAACCTTCCATAATCTCATTTTCTTGTGCAATCAAATATACAGTACAGCTAAGACACAAGTATTTTTTTAGAAAAAGTTATTCCCAGATAAGTAAAAAGATGTTATTCCTAGAGCCAAAGATCACATTTACAATAAAACTAACATATATATGATGAGAATTGTTTTTAACAAAAGTTTTAGTTTTCATAATCTACTACAATATTTACTATAAAAAATTTTAGTGTCAAGAAGACTGAATTGCAATACAAGTGACTGGCATATAATAGACAATGTTTGTTGATGATAATAGAAACAACAACAACGACAACAACAATGAAAAGATCTTTACTTACTGCTATTTCTCTGCATGCTGACATAGAAATCCCAGTTCCTTCTATTTGTTTTAAAGCATAATCTTTATCATCTTTCCTATAAAAACATAAAAAAAATTAAATAAACATTGAATCCAGAATTAGATTCATTATGCAGAAAATAAAATGTGTGTGTGTGTGTGTGTGCGTATCCACATAACAAAAATCCTAACCAACACATTGTATTAGAAATGAACCTAAAAGTTTTGGTAGCTTCCCGATTTTTGTATAGATCAGCAAAATAATCCACTTGAAAACTATGTAAGATATTTACCAATCTAAATACATAAGTTTAGAAACAAAAACATTATTATCTATTAGACATGTCATATTAAATGTCCTGTAAGCATCTCAAACTCAAATCCAAAACAGAATTCATTGTTTTTCCTCAAAACCTCATCCATCTTCTGAACTTCCATATTACTGCCAAGGGTATCACTACCCTTTCCCAATCACCCAAGTTCACATCTATGGTGGCATCCTCAACTCTTTAGTGTCATTCACGCCACATATCCAATCAATCGCTAAATTTTTTAATTTCCATCTCCACAACCTCTTTCGTGTATTTCTTTTTTCTCTTCTCACACAACAACTGCCCTAATTCAGATCGTCATCACCTCTCTCTTACTTGAACTAGTATGATAAATTCCTATTTGTACTCCTTGATTCAAGTTTCTCTCCACTCCAATTCATCCTTCTCATAGATGCGAAAGTGATTTTCCTAAAGCATAGGTCTGACCAGGTCATTCCCCTATTAAAGAAACTCCTGTGGTAGCCTCATATCTCTACGATCATATATGAACTACTATGCACGGCATTTAAAAATCTTTACAACCTGTCCCCTTCCAATCTTCCCAGATTTCTTACATATGTACTTTCTGCACTCTCTAGTCCTGCTAAACTTGATTTCCCATTTCCATGCCTTTGCAATAACTGTCCCCTATACCTGGAATATATTCCTTCCTCTTCTCTACTTCTTAGAATCTCTGACTTCTTTCAAGATTCAATTCTGGTACCATCTTTTCCATGAAGACTTTGTTGACACACACCCTGGCCAGCTGCCTATGCCCTCCTTCTAAAAACGACTTTGTATATATTTTGTACATGGTCTGAATACACACACACACACACACACACACACACACACACACATACACACACACACTGTCTCCTCCTGTTAAAATGTAAGCTTCTTGAGAACAGGAACTTTTTCACTTTTGTTTCTATATTTCCAGTGCTTTAATACAGTGCCTTACATATAGTAGGTGCTGAATAGCCCTGACCTAAAATTTTAACATCTCATATTCACTGATACAAAAATTCTAAATAAAATTCTGACAAGCAGTCAAAATGGTGAAGTGAAAGCTCACAACTGCCAAACATCCCTTAAAACCTATTCTATAAAACAACCACAGAAAACACCAAACTGAATCCTGAGAGTGAAAGCCAAGAACAACTCACAGTGAGTAATTTTTCCAGTCCAGGGCAGCTTAGAAATACAGAAAACAGTAAAAAACACAGGGGTGGAGACTGGTCGAGAGGGTAGTGTCATTTCCCATCGTCTGTAGGCTATGGGGGGGTGAGGGGTGAAGTGGGGAGTGGCAGCAGCTAAGGAAAGTAGTGCCCAGTGCTGGTAAAGGGGAATGAACACCTGGTTAGAAAAAGATCCCATGGGGACCCTTGTACTAGCACTGGGAGCAGGATTAAGTGCCATTTGGTAGCTCTGTTGCCTATTATCCAGTTCTGGATTGCAGTCCCAGGGTGGGGAAGAGAGGTGATGGTCAAGAGAGTCCTACTTGGGTAAGGATTACAGCACAGACTAAGAGGTCAATGACCAAACTTCTCCACAAAGTACAACATGTTGGAAACACCAAACCTATACAACCCCAAACCAAACTGGGAAAGCAGAAAGACATGAAAGTCTGAAGTTCAAGTCAGTCTTTTCCTCCAGAGACCAGCAGAGCCCAACTCTAAGAAAGTCCAAAGTGAAGAAATAGGCTGGGAAAAAAAGCAAACAAAAACAACAACAAAGAACCTGGTGATGGAGAAGTTCAAGACACAAACCCAGAAAAAGACAATGACTTGAAAACATCTATAAGCAAAGCCTCCAAGGGAAAAATTTCAGATTGAACAAAAGCTCAACAAGAATTCCTAGAAAAGCTAAAGAAAGAGATTAAAAAAAAATTTGAATCAAATAAGAGCAACAAAGGAAAAACTGGGAAGTAAAATGATAACAATGCAAGAAAATTATGAAAAGAATTAACAGTTTTATAAAAGGGGCACAAAAATACTAAAGAAAATAACTCCTTAAAAATTAGAATTGGGCAAGTGAAAGCTAATAACTTCATGAGACATCAAGAAACAATAAAACAAAATCCAAAGACTGGAAAATATGAAATATCTCATAGGAAAAACAAATGACCTAGAAAATAGATGAAGGAGAAAGATTTAAGAATTATTGGTCTACTTGAAAACCATGAATAAAAGAGCCATCATATTTCAAGAAATTATAAAGAAAAATTGGCCAGATATCTCAGAACCAGAGGACAAACTGAAAACTGAAAGAATCTACCAGTCATCTCCCGAAAGAAATTCCAAAATGGAAATTCCCAGGAATATTATAGCCAAATTCCAGAGCTCCCAGGGCAAGGAAAAAAAATACTACAGAAGTAGCCAGAAATAATTCAAATATCCTGGAGCCACAGTCAGAATCACATGAAAATTAGCAGCTACCACAGAAAGCTTAGTGATACTCCAGAAGGCAAAGGACCTAGAATTACAATCAATAATAGCTTACCCAAAAAATCCGGGTATAATCCTCCAAGGGAAAAAAAATTGACATTTAATTAAACAGAGAATTTTCAAGCATTCCTGATGAAAAAACCAGAGTTGAATAGAAATTTTGACATTCAAATACAAGAATTAAGAACAATATAAAAAGGTTTTTATGAATGAGAAATAATAAGGGACTAAACAAGGTTAAACTGTTTACATTCCTAAATACAAAGAAAATGTATGTAACTCCTAAGAACGATATCATCATTAAGGCAGTAAAAGGAGCCCACTTAGACAAAGAGCATGAGTCTATTATGTTGAGATGATCTCAAAAGAAGCATGGAAAGGGGAGAAAGAAAGATGTACATAGAGAAGAAGGAAGAGGAAGAACAGAGAAAAATATCTCACAGAAAAGAGGCATGCAAAGAAAAGCTTATACAATGGAGGAGGAAAAGGGAGAAGGGAGAGGGCAACACCTGAACCTCACTCTCATCTGAACTGTTTCAAGGAGGGAAGAATATACATACACACACAGTATAGTATAGAAATCCATCTTACTCCAAGACAACTATGAAGGACTTATAATGAAAATGTTATCCATCCTCAAAAAAAAAAAACTAATGGTATCTGAATATAGATTGAAGTATTTTTTTTTTTTTACTTTCCTTATTTTTCTTGAGGGTTGGTTTTTTTTTTTTTTTTTTGGTCTATGTTTTCTTTCACAACATGACTAATATAGAAATGTTTTGCATGACTACACATGTATAACCTATATCGAATTGCTTGCCTTCTCAATAAGGAGGGGATGAGGAAGGAGGACAGGAGAGAATTTGGATACTCATTTGCAAAATTGAGGGGTTGGACTATGTAGCTTGAGAGCCCTTACAACATCAAATCTATGAGCATAAAAAGCATGTAATTATATCAATAGAAGTACAAAAGTCTTAGACAAAATATAGCACCTTCATGTTAAAAACCATAAAAAGTATTTATATAAAACCAAGATCTAGCATTATTTGCAAGACAATAACATTATAAGCTTTCCAGGATAGACAGGAATTTTTAAAAAGGGGGGAAGTAGGGGGCCACCCATCTATGCACTAATGTTTGACAATTCTTATAAGGTCAGCTATAGCAAAAAGCTTGAAATTAAAGGAATAAAACATGGGCAAAGAGGAAACAAAATTATCACTTTTTCAAGTTATGACATAATGGTTTGTACAAACATGATAATTTATTTAGAAAACTCCTAAAGATCAGTCAAGAAATTAAATGAAACAATTAATAGGTTCATAAAGCTGGAAGGATCTTTCAGAGAATACCCAGTATCAAACTCTTCGTTTAACAGCTGAAGAAATTGAAGCTCAAGATGTTAAGCGACTTGCTCAAAGTTATAAAAAATAAATTTCAAAAAATAGCAGTTCTGCATATTGTTAACAGAAAACCATATGGAAACAATAGAAATTTAATTTTTAACTCCAAAAAAATTAAAAATAGCTGGAACTTAAGAGAGCAAGGCATTTATCAAAATACAACTACAAAAACACTTCTTTACTTAAACTAGACAAAATAATTTAGTGTTCATGGTTGTGCTCTGCCAATATAACAAAAATGACAATACTACTTGAACCTATTTATAGATTTAATACTATATTAAATCTGGATGTTTTATAATACCCAGAATAAATACTTAATAGAAATTGGGGGGGGGGGAAATCATTTGAGGAAATAAAAGGTATAGGCTTCTCAAGGAAAATAATAGGGAAAAGAAAAAGTCCAAAGGTAGGAGTCATACAGCATTATCAGAATGTAAATTAAACCATAAAGAAGTTATGAACAAAACTATTTGGTATCAATTAAAAAACAGAAAGGTAGATTAGTGAGTCAGACTTGGCAAGCAAGAATCAGAAGGAAGTGAAAACAGTACAATGTTTTATTACCCCAAAAACACAAATTACAGGAAGAAGAATTCCCTATTTTACACAAACTGCTTGAAAAACTAGAAAATTGTTTGGAAAAAAAAGTAGATTTAAACCAGTAAGCTCCAAATAGATGCATGTGTAAAAGGTCAAATCCTAAGAAAATTAGAGAGTTTAATAAGATTTAGAAAAGAGACTGAAGAATGGTTAAATAGATGGAACAAGAACTCTGAGGAAAAAAATCACTAAAACCTAGAGAAGAGAGAATACCCAGCAGAAAAGGGTAGTCAACAGTATCAAATACTGCAGAGAGGTTAAGAAGGATGGAGACTGAGAAGACACCCTTATTTGGCAATTAAGAGAT